ACCAAGCCCCCCTCGCCCACACCCCCTCCCTCGCACCCCAACCCCTCTACCCCTCGAGCCCCCTCGCCTCGCACCCCCGCCATCCCCTCGTCGCACCCCTCCCTCGCACCCAACCCCCTTCCCCTCGAGCCCCTTCGTACACCCTCGCACCCCTCCTGCACCCCAACCCCCTGCCCTGAGGCCCCTCCCACAGTCCGCACCCCTCCTGTACCCCTGCCCTGAGCCCCCTCCTGCACACCGCACTCCCTCCCACACCCCAACCCTGCCCCGGCCCTGCATACAATTTCCCCACCCAGATGTGGCCCTCGGCCCAAAAAGTTTCCCCACCCCTGATTTAAACAGTGTTTACGAAGCACACAAAGGTTGCATGGTGATGAATGTGTCCTGCAGAGGAAAGCAATACTCAGGTAAAACAGAAGCCTGGCTATCAGCATGCCCACTAACCAGATCTCCTAATCTAACTGCTGGTGTGCTGCAGTTCCCTGGCTGTTTTCTCCTGATTATCTGAACATGTTTGGTGTTACCTAACTGATTCTGATAATTAAGGAGTTTATTGTACTGGTCTGCCTGCTGATATATTTGCAACCCACACGGAGAAACAGAAGGGATTTCCAGGTCGTCCAGCACTTTGAAAATTTAAATAGAAATTTTTATTTAATTTCTGTGTCCAGCTGATGATTCCCTTTGCTGCCCTGACCGGTCCTCAGGAGATCAGAGCACTGGCTTGTCACACAATCACTGGGCCTGACTCTGCAAACCTTGACTTGTGCAAGTCTGTGTCTGCAGGCTCAGGGCCCTGATCAGGACCTGACTAGAAATGAGTTAGGTGGGTGCACATTCTAGTTTCCATGAGGCACTTTGGCAGAGCCGGGTGAAAATCCAAGGCTAGAACAGTGGAGTTGGTTGATCAGGACTAAGATGCTGGAAGAGCCGGGTTAGGGATGCTTGTGCAGTATCTGACCCTTGGTCAATGCCAGTAATAGTAATTGCTACTTAATTTCCCTTTTTTTATGAACACTAACCTGTACTCAAAGGCTTTAATAAAGGATGGGTGGATGCCAGGTTGACTTGATTCTGTTTAGAACTCTTGGCTTCTCACAGTCCAGTTCCCCTTGTCCAGCTGGCAATTAGGGAGATAGAATCAGAGGAAGTAAGTCGGGGGGGGGGGGGAGAGTTAATGGGCCTGCATTCCTGTTTGAGTGTTGCCCTCATTTAAGGTTTGAGTCAACTCCCATTGAAATCTGTGGAAAGACTCCCCCTGACTTCAATGGGAGTTGAATCAGGCCCATAAAGTGCTTTTGAGCCCACTTAACTAAAATGGACTAACTCAAAAAGAAAGCCTTTAAATCGCTGCTTTCTTTCCCTCTGTTTTTCAGCTGCAGGGAGCCATCATGGTCGCTTCCTGTTTCCAAATCTTTGTTGGATTTTCTGGCCTGATTGGATTTCTGATGCGATTCATCGGTCCTTTGACCATCGCCCCAACCATAACCTTGGTTGCGCTGCCTCTCTTCAACTCTGCAGGAGATGAGGCTGGCTCACACTGGGGCATATCAGCCATGTAAGTAACACTTCACCGTGGCGAAAGTGGGGGCAGATTAATGGGATAAATAGTCTAAATCTGAAATTGGATCAGGTATTACAAGCTGGTGGGGAAATGGCCTTTAGATTCTAAATGCACTGTTAGTTAAGTGCTGACAGGGTCCTGAGTGTTGCACAAGACACTGATGGTAACACAGACCCTGCCCCAAAGAGATTATAGCCTTTACACTTACACACACTCCCCAAACAGAAAATGCATTTGATTTTTAAAACTCCACAGCAGTAATAAACAAATTGTGATTTTTGTGTGGCATCTTCAATGTACAAATGCTCTGTCACAGTTGTTATGTTATATGTGTGTGTATATATATGTATGTATACCTCTACTCCCATATAATGCTGTCCTCGGGAGCCAAAAAATCTTACTGCATTATAAGTGAAACTGCGTTATATCGAACTTGCTTTGATCCGCCGGAGCGCGCAGCCCCACCCCCCCGGAGCACTGCTTTACCACATTGTTTCCAAAATCGTGTTATATCGGGGTAGAGGTGTATTACCCATAAAAACTACATTAAAAGAACATTATTAAGGTTGCAAAGTCAAGCAGTCAGAAGTTAGGAAATGCCAGAATTAAGGTTGCCTGTGCAACCTTAATTCAGCCCCCTTGTTTGTATGTATTATGAGAGTCTTCAATTACACAATCCTTGTGTGTGGGAGGTGGGGGAATACCAAAGAAACCCAGCACAGTAGCTTTTATCTTCAAAAAGGGGAACTACATAAAAATGAGGAAGCTAGTTAAACAGAAATTAAAAGGAACGTCATGAATGAAATGCCTGCAAGCTGCATGAAAACTAGTTAAAAACACCATAATAGAGGCTCATGCTAAATGTATACCCAATTTTTCTAAATAAATAGTAAAAGTATTAAGTGCCACATGTCTACACAGAGTAAAAGAGGCAGTTAAGGGTTAAGAGACATCCCTTAAAATGGGAAGTCAAATCCTAGTGAGGAAAATAGAAAGAAGCATAAACTCTGGCAAGTCAAGTGTAAAAGTATAATTAGGTAGGCAAAAAAGGAGTTGAAGAGCAACTAGCGAAAGACACACAAACTAAAACCAACAAACTTTTAAGTACATCAGAAACAGGAAGCCTGCCAAACAGTCAGTGGGGCCACTGGACTATAGAGGTGTTAAATGAACACACAAGGAAGGCAAGGCTGTTGTGGAGAAGCTAAATGAATCCTCTGCATTAGTTTTCACTGCAGAGGATGTGAGGAAAATTCTCATACCTGAGCCATTCTTTTTAGGTGACAAATCTGAGGAACTGTCTCAGATTGAGGTGTTAACAGAGGAGGTTTTGGAACACATTGATAAACTAAACAGTAATAAGTCACCAGGACCAGATGAGTATTCACCCAAGAGTTCTGAAGGAACTTAAATACAAAACTGCAGAACTACTAACTGTGGTATGTAACCTATCACTTAAATCAGCCTCTGTAATAGATAACTGGAGGATACCTAAGGTAATACTGATTTTTTTTTAAAAAGGGATCCAGAGGCAATCCTGGTAATTACAGGCTGGTAAGCCTAACTTCAGTACTGGCAAACTAGTTGAACCTATAGTAAAGAATGGAAGTATCAGATACCTAAATGAGCATAGTATTTTGGGGAAGAGTCAACGCAATTTTTGTAAAGGAAAATCATGCTTCACCAATCTAATAGAATTCTTTGAAGGTGTCAGCAAGCATGTAATGGTGATCCAGTGGATATAGTGCACTTAGATTTTTGGAAAAGCTTTCACAAGTTCACACACCAAAGACTCTTAAGCAAAGTAAGCAGTTATGGGATAATAGGGAAAATCTTCTCATGAATCAGTAACTGGTTAAAAGCCATGAAACAAAGAGTAGGAATAAATGATTGGTTTTCACAGTGGGCAGAGGTAAATAGCAGGGTCCTCCAAGGTTCTGTAGTGGCACCAGTGCTGTTCCACTTATTCATAAATGATCTGGAAAAGGCAGTAAACAGTGAGGGGACAAAGTTTGCAGATAATACAAAATTACTCAAGATAGTTAAGTTCAAAGCAGAGTTCGAAGAGTTACAAAGGGAAAACTGGGTGACTGGGTAACAAATTGGCAAACTGAAATTCAGTGTTGATAAATGCAAAGTAATGAACATTGGAAAACATAATCTGAACAATCCATACAAAAAGATGGTGTCTAAATGAGCTTTTACTGCTCAAGAAAGAGATCTTGGAATCATTGTGGATAGTTCTCTGAAAACACCTGCTCAATGTGCAGCAGCAGTCAAAAAAAGCTAACAGAATGGAGCCATTAGGAAAGGGATAGATAATAAGACAGAAAATATCATAATGCTACTATATTTAGCATTATGCCCACACTTTGAATACTACATGCAGTTCTGGTAGCACCATCTCAAAAAAGATATATTGGAATTGGAAAAAGTAGAGCGAGAGGCAACAAAATGATTAGTGGTGTGTAACGGTTTCCATAGAATGAGAGATTAAAAAGATGGGGACCGCTCATCCTAGAAAAGAGAAAACTAAGGGGATATGATAGAGATCTATAAAATTATGAATGGGGTGAAGAAAGTGAATAAGAAAGTGTTATTGATCCCTTCATATAACACTGGAACCAGGGATCACCCAGTGAAATTAATAGGCAGAAGAAAGTACTTCACATAATGCACAGTCAGCCTGTGGAACTCATTGCCAGGGGATGTTTTGAAGGCCAAAAGTATAACTGGGTTAAAAAAAGAATTAGATAAGTTCCTGGAGGACAGGTCCAAGTTCCAGGAGGATAGGTCCAAGTTCCAGGAGGATAGGTCCAACATGGCTATTAGCCAAAATGGTCAGGGACGCAACCCCATGCTCTGGTGTCCCTAGACCTCTGGCTGCCAGAAGCTGGGACTGGACAACAGAGGATGGATCACTGTATAATTGCCCTGTTCTTTTCATTCCCTCTGAAGCATCTGGTGATGGCCACTGTGGGAAGATAAGACACTGGGCTTGATGGACAATTGGTCTAAGCTAGTATGGCCGTTCTTATGATCACAATTTTTTTCCCCATAGGAACCTGCCTCATTCTTTGTACAGGATGGTGCTCACTTAACAAGCAACTATTCAATATTGTGTTGTCTTCTCATTGGTAAATAGTGTGGCCCTAGTCTTTATTTCCTGCACACTATTCAAGCCCTTCTCTGCAGAGAGAATTATTTATTTCCCGGTGGACTTTTCTGTGGAGCTCATCACTATAGTATCTAAGTGTTTCACAAATTCTCATGGATCTATTTTCACTACACCCTGGTGAGATGAGGGGCTGTTATCCCCATTTTATGGCTGGGGAACTAAGGCCCAGAGAGATCAAATTAAAAAGTGTCTACTATGTCTGGGTTCCCAATTTGAGACACCTAGGACTTGATACAGGTCCCAGTGACTTCAGTTGTAGCTGTGATTGCTCAGCATTTCTGCAAAACAAACCTTGGGATCTCAAGTCAGGCATCCAAAAATGACACAGCCACTTAGTGCCCACCTGTGAAAAGTTTGGATTAAGTGACTTTCCCAGCATCATATAACTCTGTGGGAGAGACAGGGATAGCATCCAGTTCACTAGGACAGCATTCAGTTGCCTTAACCATGAGTCTGTCCTTTCTTTTCCTGCAATCTCCTGCCTCTTTTTTTTCAGATTTAAAAATTTTATTAAGATGATGTTAAAAAAAATAGTGAACAGAGTTTGAGCATAGAAGTTTCTGGTTATCAGGGAATAATATACAGATTATCAAGGGTGCAAAGTTTGGTTTAAGATAAGGTGGCATGAGGAATACATAATCTGCAATATCCCCGATTGGGGGTAAAAAGTTGATGGGTCAAAGTACAGACATTGAGATATGAGGATATGAAGTTCATAAAGTGGCTATGTTCAGGTGTGGATTATAATGAGTGGATATGATGATGAGGATAGATTGACCCTCATTTGGTGAGATTTAATGTTCAGGGAGTTTATGGTTCCAGTTCATATGATCCAACAGAGAAGGTCACTTGGTCCCTTTCTCGTAGTGGGAGAACGATGTCACTCTGGCTCACGCCTCCTGGTACTGTCGGTGGCCGGTGATGTGCTCGATGTACATGTCCCTGGACCATCGGATGGCATCTGAGAGCATGAGGCGCCTCATGAGACGTGCGTAGCGTCGACCGATCCCGCAGGTCCGCAGCACACGCTCGTTGCAGGGGTCCCAGGCGCCCAGGGCTCCGACAATCAGGGCGTCCATCTGCACCTCATAGCCCTTCGCTCTCAGGGTGTCAGCCAGGGGGGCGTACTTTTCCAGTTTACGAGCTCGGGCTTCACGAAATGCCGGGATTCTGTTCTCAAAGGAGACCGTGACGGCGACGAGGATGATCTTTTTCTGGGCCTCGTCGGTGACGACCATGTCAGGTCGTAGCTGGCTGTCAGTACCGGCGATGGTGCAGTTCATGGAGATCTCCCCCAGGCGTGGCGCGATGGCTTTCACCAGGCGGTTCTGGATGGCGTTGTGGCGCAGCTGCCAGGCTCTGGAGTGGGGTTTGCAGCTGCACAGGACGTGGGGCAGTGTCTCGTTGGGGTAGCTGGACTTCCTGCAACGCTTGTCTCGGTTCCCGGGGCGGATGGCTCCGTTGAGTGGGACGCAGTTGAGCCGGGCACGGTGGATGAACCACCAGTCGGTGAAACAGGTGAAGCCGCCCCCGGCGAGGAAGTGGTTGCTGGCGTCCCACTTGCTGGTCAACTCAAAGACTTTACCCTGGTCCGGTTTACGCTTCAGGGTTTCCACGTACAGCGAGTGGATGGCAGCCTTCAGAGTCCTCTCCCGCAAGCCCCTGGCCATCGGGGTAATGACGGTGTCGTCGTCGGACCTGATCTGCGGCACCCGGATTCCCAGCTCCTGGCGCTTCTCGCACCACTCCCAGCGGCAGCCGATGCGCTTCCCCAGGCGATGCATGGCGTTGCGAGTGCGGGACCACAGTGAAGCGA